ATTCAGCAGAATAATCAGCAAGGAAAGGATGCGAGCAGCAGTAAAAGATGTTAGTGTTAAATGACAGCTTAAACAAGAATCTCTTCCTTCCTGCCCCAAGATCACTCCTGGCTTTCTGCCCACAGTGGCTGGTGAGAAAATGCCCATTGCTGCCTCTCTGCCACAGAACCAGATCAGATCAGGCAGCTCCTTTCCTTCTGCCACTGAGGGCTCTTCTCAGGAAAAACAGGTAATAAATAACCTTTGTGACAGGGAGAAGTGGAAATGCAGGGAAGTCATTAAGCAGGTGCAGCAATGCAGAGGAGCTCTGTGGGATGTGCAGGATGGTGTGCTGGGGACATGGTGCAGAGCCTCTGCTGTGGCACTGGTCCTTTGGTCTCCAGGCAGTGCAAGGTGACTTTTGGGGGAAATGTGGTGCTTCTGGAGCCTGTTTTTATACAGCAACACAGAGCAAGGGTTTAACTGAGGGCTGTGGTACACACCCAGGGCTAAACACTTACAGAATTGCTCTTGCCATTTTGAGGCTGATGGAAGTCAGGCCTAAAATATCTGTGCCAGATTTTTACTGAACCAAAGCAGGGAGCCTGGCTGGAGAGCCAAGAGCCAGAAAGGTAGAATTAGAGAGTTCTTGGCTTGGTAGGAAAGTGTTAGCAGGCAGAAATGGAATCTTGAAGCTGGCAAAGCAAAGCTGCTGGCGGATGGTGCCAGGGTTTCTGATGGACAGAGCTGCAGATGCTGCAGCCTTTCAGCACGTTGAGGAGTGAGGAGTGCCTGGTGTCAGACACTGCTCCTGGCTGGGGCAGGCAATGCCCACACGGGACAGCTCATCCCCTCGGAGTGACACGGTGATGGCTCTGAGCTTCATTCAGGAACTGAGAGATTGCTTCTGCTTCAAGCTAACGATAATGAGCCAGCCCAATTTTCACTTCCCCAGCAGTGCCCTCTTTTTCTGTCTTAGATAAAAACGTTTTTGAAGTATGTCACAGCTATTTGGTAGCAGCTTTCACACTTTCCCCCCACACCTGACATTCAGCTGAACTCTCATTTTTCAGTCAGCCGCCCCGGCTGACACAGGGTTCGTTGTTAAAATGCGACAACAAAAGCAAATGGAAAGCCCCAAGCAAAAATCTGCTGTGAGATGTTACCAGACCTTTGTGAGCATCAACATGAAAGTCGGAGGGAGGTTGGGATGTGTACCTGCACCCTGTGTGCGTGTCCTCCCCGTGCAGCCACCTCCAGTGCTGCAGCTGCTCTACTTCCACTTGGTTGTGTAACATATCCTTTTGGGGTTTTTGACAGCTATGACACTGGCTGCATCCAGCTTTGTCATCAATTCATAGAATCACTGAATTATTATCATGTAGGAGCTGCCAGTGCAAGATGTTTGTGTTGCCTGTGTCCTGCAGCTGCTGGGGGGTGGTGGGCCTGACCAGGACAGGGTGAAGTCATGCAGGTTGGGAGTCTGAGAGGTGAAGGTTCCAGCCCTTCTCACACCTGTGCCCTCCTCACCTGGCAAGCACAGTGTTGGTGCTGTCCAGCCTTGGCTCCAGAGAAATCTGGGAAATCTGAAAGGCAGAGTGCATCCCATGCTATGAAGGTTAAATTGCACATACTCGAAAGCTGGCGGATGTGGTGAGAGGTTTTTGCAGCAAAATAAAAGTGAGCCAGGCAAGGTCTGCACTGCCTGGATAGTTAAGGTCTGCCTTCCAGGCAGTGGTGCAAGAATCAGTACCTTGGAGGCAAGTCCTCGGATCCCTGTTGTCTCCCAGAGGTTGCTGAGCCCACCAGAAATACCTGTATTTCACTGAAATACCTGTATACTACTGAAATACCTGTATACTGCTGAAATACCTGTGTACCACTGAAATACCTGTAATCACTGAAATACCTGTATTTCACTGAAATACCTGTGTATCAATGAAATACCTCTATACTGCTGAAATACCTGTATTTCACTGAAATACCTGTATACCACTGAAATACCTGTATACCACTGAAATACCTGTATTTCACTGAAATACCTGTATACCACTGCTGCCTCCTCACTGCTTAATTCTTCTCTTACCTCTTCTCTGCGTGGGCGGGAGAGCTTGGCCAGGTGGGTCAATGAATTTGGACGACACTCTTTCTACTAAATCAGCCTGAAAGCTGCAGATGGCAAAAGCAAGAGACAGTGAATAAATAGAACTGTAAAAACCAGTTTTATAGTTGGGGAGCTTGAGGGGGTTTCTTGGTCCTTGTGCTGCACTTCAGTCCCAGCACTCCTGAATCCCTGCCTGCCCTGCCTGAATGGTGAAGAACAGAAATTTTGGAGGGAGGAATTTTGGCTGCCTCAGGCCAGGCACTCATGGTGTGTGTCTCTGGGCTGCCAGAGGAAGAGGTGTCGCTGGAAGTTAGGTGGGTGAGCAGAGTGTGCTCAGAAGTGCTTTGTTTACAGGCTGCTTTGCATCTCCCCCACCCTTTTTGTCAGCGCTTGGTGGAGTAGAAGTGTTTTTTTCTTGCCCGTCTAAAACAACAGTTTGGTTTGTGCAGAGCTTTCATCTCTGAGGAGCTCACATCCATGCTGGTGAGACCAGAGGTATGGAAACACACACTGGCAATCAGGCGATCTCTCACCCCACAGATCCCATACTGGGGGGAGGATGTTAAAGATCTCTTGGCTTTACTGGGGAACAATCCATCAGATCACAGAGGAGCAGATGTCATTCAGCAATGCAGGAGAGCCAGCAGCAGCAGCAGGGCTGGGGAAGCAGGGTGTGACCCTTGGGCTGAGCCAGCAGCAGATAATCCATCTCTGCATGCACTGCACCCCTCGTTGCTGCTTTGATCTGTTCAAAGAAAATGCAAGTGTAGGAAAGGGGAAATGAACCAACCTCCTTAGGAGGTCTTTGCAGCCAGAGCCTCTCCTCCTTTCCCTCCCCATTGTGTAGTAAGCAAAGGAAAGATTCTGCTTTCAGATTTTGGTGATTACAGAGCAGATATCCCCATTTCTGTCTGAATCTCTAGAAGCATGCTGAGAAGCCTGCATCCCCTGGGAAGCTGGCAGAGTTTTGCTGCTGTCCTGTGCACTGAACAGCCACTGCCCAGGTGGATGGAGGACTCTGCTCAACCCCTGTCTGCAGCAGGGGGTTCCTCCTTTTGGCATTGCCCTGAATAGGAGTCACAAAGGCAGGGCTGGCTGTGGGAGCTGTAAGGATGTTTTTGTGGCAGCAGGGCTGGGGCCAGCACGTGCAGGTGGACACAGCTGTCCTAGGGTGACTTCATGATCCTTGTATCCCCAGTCATCTGTCCTGTTTAGGCTGCATATTAAGTTCTGCACCTCTAAGACTGCTTCTGAAAGTGAAGGGGAATTAAAAAAGCGTGCAGTTTGTTTGCAGAAACTGCACTTGCTGCTCTGCATTCCTTCTCACAGACTGTGTTTTCTGCAGCACAGACAGCAAGAAATAACTCTCCTTTGCTTCTTAGTTAGTTTTTTTTCAGCTAACTGAAGCAGAGAAATTCCCCAGACTGTGACTTTTCTTTTTCTTGAAACTGATTAGCCTGCTCTGGACTGCAGACCCAGAAGAACACTGGGAGCTCACACCTGTGGCCCACCGGGGCTGGGACACTGCATTTCCACACAGAAGGGACTGACGAGAGACTGAATGAGCCAAATTACACCCCACCAAAAACACTTTCTGAATTTGCCATCTCTTCAAAACAAGGAGACATTTTATTGTGTAATATTTATTTTTTTTTAAATATATATACTTGTGAATGCTTTCCTTGTTAAATAAAGAGGTTTTTTCCACTCTTCTCCAAAGAAATATTTTCCCGAACCAACTGGGAAAAGGGTCACTTAAATCTGCTTTCTAGTAAAACCCCATTGGAAGTTTTGTCCCAAATTTGCCCTAAACCAAAACAAATCCAGCAGCCCAGCCTGGGGCTGGGAGGTGTGAGTAGAGGTGTGTGCATGGTACAGCTTTGCTCAGGGTGTGTGGTCTGAAGCTGCTGAGTGGTTTCATCTACTTTTTAGGTGTTTGTGGTAAAATTACCACAGGGTGGGACACTCTGCTCTGCATTAAAAAATCCCAGTCCCAGTTAGAGCTCATACCCACTGCCCCTGGCTTGGACAACAGGGAGCTGTCCCTCCCCCACAGGCAGCACAGCAGCTCCTCTACCACCCCATCTCCCCCCTTTTCCATTTAACTCATTAAGAAACTGAATTTCATGCTAGAGACACAACTTTATTTAGGTTGATTTCTTTGGAACAGCTTTGCTACCACTTTAGACAGTCCTTTACATTATAAGATTGAATAGAGTCCTGATACAGAGTCCTTGTTCCCACTGCCCTGTACCAACTCTTTTATTTAATTTTAATGCCATTTGACTCAAACATTTTGACTCACACAAGTTTTTCCCCAATACAAGCAACTGCAATTTCTTCTGACCTTGTGTTGTAATGATGACCATTTTGTAGCTGTTACATTGCTGTAAAATTCTTTAAAGCAAGCTAAATATTCGTGTTAGGGGATTGTGCATTATTAGCAACTAAAACCCAGTAAGATTGTGACTCACAGAAACACCATCCTTTCTTTTTCTGCATGCTTTCACTCTGATTTTTTAAAAATTTGTTGATGTTTGGAATAGCCTATTTCTTTGTCACAGCTGCACAAACATTGATCCAAGGTGGGGATGAGAGACAATACCCAATCCTTTACCAGTCCCTGTGCTTCTTTTGGCTTTCATGGGAAAATGAAAGATGGGGGTTTTTGGCAGGGGAAATCTACCATTTTACGCAAATTTGCATTAAGGCAGGGAATTGTCAGCAGCAATCTAGATCATTAGATCAGGACCTGGACTACTGTGGTTGTCTGATTCAGAGCTGAATCATGCATCTGAATGTTTCTCATTAGTAGAATGTCCCTCCATCCCACTCTTAAAAAAGCAAGTGTGAAACCCTGCTAGTGAATCCCAGTTGAACACAGCAAATATAAAATGTGTGCTGTATGTGTTCTGCCTTAATGTGCTACACGTGGGAGCTGAATTGCAGCTTCTTCACTGGCCTCAGATTTGGACTTTGCCAGCTTGGAAGATGCTTCCTTAAATTCCTTGTTGACAAAGTAGTAACAAATGGCATCCAGGCAGCAGTTTGTGTTGGCAAGGATGGAGGCGAAGTGAACGAAGTTGTTGCTGCTCTGTATTGCCGAGCAGTTGGAGCTGATGGAGTCCAGGACAAAGCGGAGGAGATGCCCGAGGTAAAGAGGTAAAAAGCAGATGATGAACACAGCCATGTTTGCAGACACAATGTAGACAGCTTTCCTGGTCAGCATTTCATTGCAAGAGTTGTCAATCTTCTTTCTCCTGAGCTCTGCAATGATTTTTATGGAGCAGTAACTCAAGATGAGCAGCGGTATGAAAAACCCTGCAATAATGGCACACAGTGTGATCACCGAGGGTGTCACCGAAGATTTTTCAAAGCAAAACTCATCCTCTCTTCGGTCCTCAAAGCTTTTAATGAGGGAAGTTTCACAGATGATGACTATCCAAAGGAATCCAGAGGCAAAAGCTGCCTTCAGCGGTGACCTGAGTGCCTTGGATCTCAAAGGGTACTTGATTGCAAGGTACCTGTCAGCAGCAATGAGGGTGATGATACCGATGCTCATAAAGCGGTTTGTGAAATAGCCACCTTCCAGAACCAGGCACCACCCGTCCACCTTCAGGTGCTGGAACTGGGACAGAGTTTTGAACGGCAAGGTGAAGAGCAGCAAACAGTCAGCCACAGCCAAGTTGACCATGTATACTCTGGTTTCTGTCCATTTGCCAAGTTTGCAACAGAACACCCACAGCGCCAACACATTCAGCACGATGCCCAAAACCAAAACTGGGATGTAAACACACAGCTGGAAAACTGAAAATATTTCATAGGCTGTGATATTGCAGCTGCTGTGGTTCATTTTGGGAGTATCAAAGCGTACAGTTCCTGCAAAAGCAAATTAAGCCTTTTATGAGGGAGGTTCTGGACTGAATCAGTGATTAATTCTAATTGAGAGAGTTCAGGGCTTTGGCAGCCATGAAAACCTGAGGTAGGGTACCTAGTGGGAAGAAGAGGGACAGGGACACAAGCCTGATCCGTTGTGAAGGAGAGAAAAACTTAGATTCTCCCTGGGTCCTGTGCGAGGAAGACTGCTCCTGGAGGGTGGCAGAGAAAAGGGCTTGGGCCCCTGTTTTGGGCCCTGTTTTTGCTTTGATCCAGACTTGGATCAGGCAGCAGCAGATACCCCGCATCAAGGAGTTATGTGAGCCATTGCAAACATTTGATAGTGGGATAGGGGATCCCTAAACCAAACTTTCATCCCTTCCCTTATAGCAGGGCTCAGTGGAAGCCAGCCAGTGACCTTGCAGCTTAAAATGTCCCAGATGTGCAGCAGAAGGACAGCTGTCTTTTCCCTCAGTGCTGAGATGTCTCTGTGTCACTTCTCAGTAGTGACATGAGCAATTATTAGTGTATCTCTCATTAGTGTATCTCTCATTAGTGTATCTCTCACTGGTTTCAGCTGCCATCAAATTCTGTACTCAGAGGGCTGCACTGAGAATCGGAGTGCTGGGTCTGCTCACTGCCTTTCAAGGATTGTCAAAGCTGCTCTTAATCTCAGAAGCATTACAGCAAACTGCCACAATTCCAAGACAAAAGAAACTCGCCTATGCCATGGCAGGAATGAGATATGGAAGAGGTGAGCTATGTTTGGTCTAGCATGTGGTTTTATCACCTTGGATCTAAGGGCAGTATTGCTGTTTGCCCTCCAGCTTTGGAGGAGTTAATGCAGAAGCACGTTCCAGGTGCAACTGTTCATGGACAGAAAAGAGCCAGGATGTCTGACATGTCTTTGGGTGTTCCCTGCAGGGGGAATGTGGCTCCATGGGGAAAGGTTTGTGGGTCTCAAAAGCATCCCCAGTGAGCAAACCGTAAGGCAGTGCTGCAGCATTTATGTGCATCTGTGGGTCTTGGTTAGCTCTGAAAATCGTGCAGCAGAGGAATCACACCAGGAGACCTCTGAAGAGGTGAGGGAATGTGGTACAGCAGATACCTGCAGCAGCTGTGTCCTCTGCACATGAGAAATGTGTCATGGGCCCATAAGATATAAGGGAAGATCATAACAGGGAGACCTAGAAAAGATCTAGCAAAGGCTGAGACAGCCCTCAAGCAACCCAAAACGTGTCTGATGTGGTCAGTATCAAAATGAACCTTTGAAAATATATTGGCTCCAGCCCTCTCTTTCTCCATCGCTATTCTGGTGTCCCACCACTGCTGGGGAAAGGTGAAGCCTTGCAGAATGCAAATAACCATGTCAGTAAATAGCCAGGAGAAATTACCTGTTCTCTTGCTGTCCTTGGAGAGAGTGAGTTCCTCCAGCCCAGCTGTGGAGTGCTGTGCAGGCACGACGAACAGTGCTCCTTGCACATGACCAGTGGGGTGTCCTCTGATCACAATTTCTGGTGGCTCTGAGAGCAGCAACGCTGGCCGAGAAAGCACCCGCACTCCTGCTGAACAAAGGGCAGAGCTTCCTCTGTCATCACCATTGGTGTGGCTTGTACCACCTCCTGCTGACTGAGGAGCCTGCAGTAGTCCTGCAAGGAGGTGAAAGGCTTGTCTGCCCTGCATCCCTGCAGCAGTTCCTCTGGAGGTGGAATAGCTTTGGCTTTTTCCTTTGCTTTACCTTCCATTGCCTGATGTCTCACTGGGCAATGCCTGTTGACCCTCCTCGCCTAACAGACTGTGCTTGAGGGGACCCATTGCCCTGAAATGTCCTGAGGTCTTCTCTCTGCCTTCCAGAGTGCCACCCCTGATGGGATTGGAGCAGGAGTGGTTTCTGTTGTCACACTGCCTGAGCCCTGGGACAGAACAGCCCCAACAGTCCTGCAGCTGTTGGAGAGGTGAGAGCAGTGGTTTGCAGGAAGTTTTGTGATTGTTATAAAGCGTTTCACTCTGAATCATAGTAGTTCTCTTGTCTTCCATAGCTCTTCTCAGCCAGCAATTCCGAGAAAACGTGGCGCCGTGACCCTGTGACCTGCTGGCTCTGTGACGGCTCAGTGGTTGCAGGTGCCTGTGTCCCAGGGTTGCTCTTGGGCTCCCCATGACAGCCTATTTACCAGAAAAGCTCAGACAAGTTGATCAATGAGCTTAAAGGTGCTGATAGTAGCACCTTGAATTGCTGTCTTGGCCAAACGTATTTCCCCTTTCCACTTTGCTCTAAGGTCACCTTAGGGCAGCTTCTGGAGTATTTCTGCATTGTCTGTCTGCACGTCACAAAACAGCCCTTGAAAATAATTTCATGCCAGTGTACAATTACAATACATTACAAACTTCTAAATTTCCAGGGACTGCTTTTGCCTTTCTTGGGGCTGCTGCTTGGTGGATGCTTACAAGTAGTTACTGACATATTAGTGTGCCCAGCTCACTGATCCCCAGCCAGCAATATTTTTATGTCATGGTCCTTGTTCGTACTTTAGTCTTCAAAGTCATCCAGCTTCTGCGTTTGTGCTAGTTTCATCACTGTACAGAAAATCTTGCATCATCCTCAAGTGTTGTTCCCAGCCTCCTCTTGTCTGTGTCCAGGCAATCGCTAGTGGTATAAACCATGAGAAGTCACAGTCATGCCTGGAGGGGCTCAGCTCATAGAACCTCTCCAGTCTGATGCTTCCCATCCACAGCTTGGTGCCGTGGTTGCCAGATGAGGGTCTCATCAGCCCACTGAGGTCTCAAGAGAAGGAGAAGCCATGTCACTAGGCACAAAGTACCCGGCTGTGAGCAGCAGGTTCACCAGCATGTGTCAAAGCAAACTCAACACAAGCTACCAGTAGGCAAAGCTAGGATAAAGTGCTGTCTGTGAAGAACTTACATGGCTCCTGCCGAGGCTCTTGGGTCTGTGCCTGATTCCTGGCCACAGCAGCATGAGGATCCCCATCCTTCTCTCCACCTCGTCTCCACATCAGCCACCCTCATCTGCAGCTGCTCACGGTCCCCTCCTTCCACGCAGTCACAGGTTTTATCACCCCTGCCATGGACCATTGACGCTGACTTGGTATTTCCCCTGCCTCTGCAGTTCCCAGCCTGTCTCAGCCCTGTGAGTGCTGTCCCCGTGTGGCGCAGTGGAGGTGACACTTGTGCTGTGTCCCTGCTGGCAGCTCTGGGGCAGGGTATTCCAGGGCCCAGCAGCACTGCAGAGCACTGGCGCCTGTACAGCCTGCACTGGTGCCTGCAGTGAGCCCCGAAGAACCTTGCACTGACACCAGCATCCACTACATTGTGCCTGGAAAAGTGATTTCTTAATGAAAGTAGCCAGTGGGACAAAATATTCCTGCAAGGTAAAAAACCAGTGGTATGGCCTGCTGTCAGACAGATTGATGGGCTCCTGCCTCCTTTCCCTGCCAGGGAAAATCTCCACCTCCCCTGCATCCCTGTGTCCTGCTGGCTGCAGCTGCGGGAATGTCGGAGTGGGGCAGAGCCTGTGGTAGGGTGGGAGGGGTGCTGGTACCATCTCCACGCACAGAGAGGGACACAGGGCTCTGGGCTGCCCTGCAGTGCCTCTGCCCCACAGGGTTTCTTTCCTGCCGTTCTCACGGCCAGAAGGGATGGTGCAACAGCAGATCTTGACCAAAAGAGAACTATAGAGTTGAGAGCAAAACATATCAGTCTTATTTTTAGCATGTCAAATGGCAGTTTGAGGCTAAGTGCAGCAATCCCACACAATGACCAGCCCTGGCTGTTGGGGCTGTTTCCCCTTTCCCCTTCCCCACCACTGCACAGAATTGCCTGCAGCAGAAAATGCTGTCAGGGCTCCTGTGCTGCAACCCTCCCCACAGTCCTGCAGTGATGCCTTTTGGGGCTGCCTAAAACCAGAGGTTAGACAAAGGTAAGGGAATAAAAAGCAGTTATATGTATTGAAGGGCCATAAGGTACATTTAGGGCAGATGAAGCCCCCCAGGCAGCTACACCCAAAAATGAATGATGGATCAAGGGGTTTCACAATTTTATAAGTTTGGTCCATTTGCATATTGGGGGTTAATCTTCCAGTTACAGCTTCAGGTAATGAAGGCATTTAGCCCAAGTTTACTCCCCCCAACTCACTTTTGTTTACATTTCTTGGGGTCTAAGACAGTAAGGTGTCCTTGATTGCCAGGCCTGGAGAGGAATTGTTGTCTGACCAAAATGGGAAAGCAGCAGCTGATACTGTATATGGAGTTTAGGGGTATACACTGAAGAATTGCAGGATTACAAATACATGAAAAACACAAAAGCCAAAGTTCTAAGGCATCACCAGCACCAGGGACCAGCTGAGTATCTGTGCCCACACACTGGAAAAGCCTGTGCTTCCCAAGAGCCTGATGCTGCTTCAGGGCTTGCGGAGTTCCCTGGAGGCTGCCAGGCAGCGCTCACCCCTGGAAACACTTGCTGTGCCAAGGAAACAAAATCAGAGACGCCTCCAGCACCTGAAAGCAGCACCCAGCCCACAGCTCCCCAGTATGTGTCCTTCAGCCCCCTGGAGCTCAAACCTCTGGTAAGAACTCAGGCTTCAGGTCTGCTGAAATGCCACCAAACAGCAAAATACTGTCTAATGCCAGCCACTGCCTTCCATGCATAGGAGGGCCAAAAAAGCTTTCTCTGGTGGCCACTCACTCACTCACTCACTCACATAAAAGCAAGATTCTGAGTTACTTTGTAGGCTTTTCCTTGTGTTCTTTGCTGTCAGTTTTTTTTGGTTGTGTGTTTCTTGTTTTTTTTTTTTTTTTTTTTTTTTTTTTTTTTTTGTTTTTGTTTTTTTTTTTTTTTTTTTTTTTTTTTTTTGGTTTGTTTTTTTTTTTTTTTTTTTTTTTGTTTGTTTTGTTTTGTTTTGTTTTGTTTTTTTCCCTCACAAGCCTGAAGTGGAAACCATTATTAGCATTTTTTTCTTTTAAGGGACAGGAACGTTACATCTTGCAGAAATGTTGGTAAAATGCAGTGGTTCAGCCTTGCTGTTTGGGGCAGCTGATGGACTCTGGCAGCTATGGCTGGTCCCCACTATCATTTCCCAGACTCTTGTGCTAGGAAATGGAAAAGATTTGGGGTTAAGGGTGTTGCCATCCTCCTGGATTGCTATTGCAGTGCTGGATGCTGGCCAGCAGTTTGTTGTGGCCCAGGGTCTGATAACTCCTCTGTTCCATTTACTGGGAGCACTCAGGGAGCTGAGGCTTTGTTCAGACTGAAGCAGGATGCCAGAAACCCATCCTAAACTTGACATATAAACCAGATAATAATTTTTGTCCAAGGTAGAATATATAGCTTCAGATAATCAGAAAGTTCCTTGCTCATCTTTGGGTTTCACTGTTAAATACCCTGCTGAAAGGCAGATCTTATATCTCAGTAGCAAAGGCTTTTCTCCCAATCTCCACTATAGGCTTAGCATTAAGAGTAGAGGACTCTGATGTATAATGGTAATAAATGAATATTTATTTATATATATATTACTATGACCTTTATTTGCACTTGCAAAAGTATAGATTTTTTGTTTGTTTGTTTTCATAGCATTCAGTGGAAACAGCAAAAAAATGATGACAGAGATTGTGAAGTCAACTAATTTCCTCTTTGCAATGAGAAAAAGGAACACTTATGAGATGTATATGTGAGGCCACATGTATAAAAAGCATTGCTGTTCTATATTTGAGAGTAGATGACCTGTCTGAAACCCACTGGAAATTGAACAAGTTCTCCATGTTAACTGGGAGAAAACATGAGCATGACTGAATCCACAAAAATAAGCAAGTTGTTTGCTTTCTGGATTAAGAGTAGGTTAACAGGTTGATATGAATCTTCATCTCTTTTTTCAAAATAATAAAAAAAAAATCATAATAATGTTTTTGGAACAGGCATAAGCAATGAGATGCAAGGTCTCAGAAGGGAATCCTAGGTCCAAAAATGTTTTTGAAGGCCCTCTGTGCTGTTCCTGAAGTAGCAGTGTTTTTCCTTGCTGAACACCACTTGCCTGGATTGTAAGAGATGTCTGCCAAGAAGCCCCTTGCTTTCTGAGGGTAGTTAATTGCAGCATATTTGTTGATGGGTGACAACACTCACACATCTCCTTAAGCAATAGATGGTTGATAAGATCAGGCACTGTCTCCCATATCTTTTCCTGCCTTTGAAAAGATAATTCAGAAGGCAGAACGAGGAATAAACAGTGTGCAATGGTTAAACTGGTCACATACACACACAGGCTACTTGCTCTGCTTGCAGTGAAACACCAGTAATGCCAGAGCATTAGAAAACACACCAGGGAAGAAAACTGGGACATGAGTTATCAGCTGAATGACCTGAATAGTTTCATCTGGTTTTATGGCACCGTTGCTCACTGCAGCTTCCGCCGTGTTGTTGCCCAAGAATTGACACAAAGCAGGTGGATCTAATGCCTGGATGTGGGACACTTTCTCTGCCGGGAACAGTCCTTTGCGTGTTTATTGCACCAAGGTCTAGTCAGTGGTTTCAGACTGTGGTCTGAACCAGTGTCACTGCTGCGTGGTGACAGACTTGTAGGGGAACTTTATGTCAGTTGTCACTAAGGAAGTTAATTGTCTCTAAGTTTACGTCAGCAGAATATGAGCTTGCAGTCCCAAGAGGAAATTTTTTAGAGGTTTACAAGTCAGAAGACACTGAAAGTGAAGGACCATGAAGCCAACCAAGACAAGCTGTCACCAGGTGGTGCCTGGAGCTGCGATGCAACGATACAAGACAATAGTCAGAGCTGGAGTCAAGTCACTGAAGACAGCAGGACAAAATTCAAGTAAACATCAGACCCTTTGGAGGGGTTTGCCCCTTTTTGTCCATATGCCCATGCCTACAATGATTGCAAACACTGTATGTGGTTCCACTGCCTGTGCCTCAGAACTTGAGCAGCTTTGTGGCACTCAACACCGCTGTGCACTACACCTTGTTCATAGAATCACTTGATCCGTGGGTGGCTGTGACTCCTCACTTTTGTTCATCTTGGACCTGATAAATATACACTTGGGGAACATAGAAGAAAACTCTGGAAATTCCTTGGCTGCAAAATAATAACAAAATGCATCCAGACAGCAGTTACAATTTGCTAAGCATGCAGAGACCTTAATACAGGTTACAACTCCCGGCATCAGAGAATGAGCTCCAGCAACTTCCACTGCAAACCGCAAGAGCAGTGAGATGTGGAAGGGTGAGAAACAGACAGCAAACACACACAAATTCACAGAAACTATCTGCACGGCCTTCTGGAATAATTTTGTCTCATGAGGGCCTGTGGCCATCTTCTGTTTTAGACATCTGATGACTTGTACTGAGCAGAACATCACAATCCCTAAGGGAATAAAATACCCACAGATGCAGTAGACTAAAGAGGAATAGCTAGGTAGAAGAGATTGTTTCCAAAAGCAACAACCTTCCCAGCTACGGCGACGAATGTGATACAAACTGGAATAAGTTATCATTGCTGTCCAAAGAAAGCCACAGATAGAAGCTGATTTCAGTGGGGATCGAAGGATCTTTGCTTTTAGAGGGAACTTGATTGCAATGTATCGATCAATTGCAATCAGGGTGATGATAAAGATGCTCATAGGCATGTTTATAAAACAGATGTTTTGTATGGCTAAACACAGCTGGTCTATGGGATGTTTGTACTTGGTGAAATACAGCAGGAAAGGCAGGGTGAAGAGCAGGGAAGTGTCTGCCACGATGAGGTTGATCATGTACACCTTGGTCTCGGTCCACCTCTTGATTTTGCAGCAGAAGACCCAGAAGGCAATTGCGTTCAGTGGGATCCCCAGAGCGAGCACTGGGATGTACACAACCAGCTGAAGCACCACAATGCTACCATGGGCACCTCTCTCAGTGCAGTTCTCCATGTTGGGCTGTCTCTGCAAGGAAAGAGTGTAGGCATGAGACTGAGCTCACTGGCAGTGTCCTGCAGCTGTGCCCTCCTGTCATGGCCCTGCAGCTCCTCATGTCCCTGCACTGCTCATGTGGGCAGCCTCAAAAACCTGAACTGGTTTTTGTTCAGTCCACAAAATCTCTGAGACTGCCCTCTCTTGCTGCCGGTGCAGGGTTAAGCCTGCCTCACCATCCCTCCAGTCCTGGTATGAACAGTTTGGGTCACAGCAAAGCAGAATAATATTTTTTGTTTTTACCTTTGCCTCTTTTGCTGCAGTTGTCAGACCACTGGCTTTAGGACAGCCCACACCGGAGCTGGGCAGCATTCCCCATTTTTCCTGGGCAGCATTCCCCTTTTGCCCTGGGCAGCATTCCCCATTTGCCCTCCATGGCCCTTGGTTTGCTGCTGAAGCCACCCCATGGGTTTGCTCTGGGTCTTGCCAGACCTGAGAACATCCTCAGGGCTTGAGCCCTTCCAGCCCAGTGGCTTTGCTCCCAGGGGCAGTGGGAATGCTGCTGCAGGCTGCTGGGTGGGTGGGTGCCTGCTGTGGGCAGGATTTGTGCCCCCAAACATAAATCCATTCCTTTGGTGGGGAGGAACAGCTCAGCAGGGGTACCAGCAGCCCTGGCAGATAACAGGCCTCCAGAGAAAGAAGGAAAAGTGAGCAAATGAGCTCATGTCTGATCTCAGCCTTCAAAGGTAGGAAGCAAAAATTTTGCTAGGGCAGAAAACATGAATCTGAGAATTTAGACTATCTCCTGCTCTTCCTTTAAATATCTCAAGGCATTTGCTACCAGCAAAGAGGATGAATCAGACTTTGTCTGCAGCTCATATAGGAAGTGTTTGCAATGAACCAGGCACGGAAAGTGCCCAGGTTGCTACAATCTCTTACTAATACATTGCCTTATAAGTCGGCACCTTCTAAACATCAACATGCAAATTGTAGTGAAAATAGATGACTGCATTAAGTAAGTGAACTGTTTCTAGTGTCCAAGACTGAGAGACAGATCTGGCAACTCCAGAGGAAGGCACAACACCTGTCCCAGCACCAGAACTGGTACGGCAGTACTGAACCCAGGCGTACAGTCATTTTTAGGGTGGAATTCATGGAGGAACTAACATACAGCCGGTGTCCTAGTGCTCTTGGGCTTTCAGCCTCATAGCTTTTGGCCACTCTGTGGTTTCAGCCTATGCTGCAGCTGTTCCCTGGCAGCCTGTTGTGGTCACCTTGCGGTGCAAAAGCCACTCTTCCTGCATGAGGAGCAGCTGAGCCCTCTGGGCTGGACATGCCAGCCGCACCGAGCCCCCACGCAAGCACAGAGCTGGTGGCAGCTCCAAGGCCGTGTCCCCAGCTGTCCCCACACCTGAGGGAGCACTAATGGGAACTGCAGCGAGGGGCACAGACCCCTGAGCGGGATGTAGCTGCAGAACAGAGGCAGAGCAGCTGTGGAAGCAGCAGGAATCGCGGGCAGCGGCACTGACAGCTGGCGAGCAGAGGTGGAAGGGCCGGGCAGGGCACAGGGCTCGCACGCTGTGCGACAGGAAGAGCTTTACCTGCTCCGCTGAGGCCGCAGGCGGGCTGGCTCCTCAGAGAGGCCGCAGGGCGTCCCGGCAGGCAAGGGGATCCGTGCTGGCCGTGCTGTCCCGGGGCTGTCACAGCCCGGCGGGGCTGAGCCCAGCAGTGAACTCGTGCGAACAGCAGCGCTTCATTTATGCCCCGATTTCCTCGGGCTGGAGCCTCTGGTGCCCTCTGTTGTCCCGCTGCCGGCAGCTGAAAGCTCCACCGTCAGCCCTTCCGCCCATCCCCGCCTCGCCTCACACAGCCCGGCAATTAACATTTCATCTCTCCGGTCGTGGGAAAACAATTTCTGAGATAAAACCCATTTGTAATGGTTGCAAATTGCCCGTCTGGCAGCAGAAGGTTCCCCGGGGAGGCTGGGCAGCCTGTGCTGCGGTGGCAGAGGGTGCCCGGGCGGGACAGGGATATTTCCGAGGGGACAGCGAGCCCAGGGACCAGAGCGCTGCTGTCACCTGCACGGTGACAGGTGTAACGGGCTGGCTCACCCTCTGCACAGCAGCCAGGAGTGTAACTCTGACCATCAGCACCGCTGGGAAGCCGGGTAATGACAGTCACTGCCACCAGTGCGGCACTGAGGTGCTGGCACCTTTGGGAGCATGGTTAGGAGCTGCCCGCTGGTGTTTCACAGACATTTGGATGGGTTTTGCTGCCCACTGGGTAGAGTTGCAATCCCGTCTCTGTGAGCCAGCTGACAGGAGCCAGACTGACTCCCTCAGGATTTGTCCCATTCATTCTTGTCTTTGGAGCTGTCATGGTTTGACAAATGCCAGGCACCCATGAGAGCTGCTCACTCACCCTCCCGTGCCACAGCTGGGCAGAGGAGAGGAAAATTTGACAAAGGGTTCCTAAGTTGAGGTAAGGACTGGGAGAAAACACTCCAAGGGCAACAGGCTCATCTTAGAGATACAAAGTGAGTTTATTACTAACAAAATCAGAGGAGGATAATAAGTAAAGTAAGCACTTAAAACACCTTTTCTTCTCCCAACCCCTCCTTCCTTCCCACTGACAGCACAGGGAGACAGGGTGTGGGGGTTTTGGTCAGTTCATCACCAAGATTTTCTTCTGCTGCTCTGGGAGAGGAGTGCCTGTGAGACCATGGGAGAGACAGCTCTCTGTGAACTTCTCCAGAGTTGAGTCCACTTTTGAGCAGCAGTCCTCCCAAAATTCCTGCTATGTGAGTCCGTCCCAAAACTGCTGCAGTGTGGATCACTCATCCACGGGGTGCAGTCCTCCGAGGACAGGCTGCTCCAGCCTGGGAGCAGGGCCCCCTCTCCTCTGAGTCTTCCACTGGAGCACAGCCTCCTCCAGGCATCCACCTGCTCCAGCATGGGCACCTTCCCCCTGGGCTGTGGGTGGATCTCTGCATCCCCCGTGGATCCCACAGGCTGTGGGTGGATCTCTGCATCCCCCGTGGGTCCCACAGGCTGTGGGTGGATCTCTGCATCCCCCGTGGATCCCCAGGGGCTGCAGGGGCACAGCTGTCTCATCATGCTCTCACCATGGCTGCAGAGGAATCTTAGCTCTGGCCCCTGGAGCATCTCCTGCCTCTCTTTCCCCACTGACCTTGGTGTCTCTATGTTTCCCTCACATGTTCTTACCTTCTTCTCTTCTCTTCTCTGGCTAGAAAAAGCTGTGCCCCCCTTTATTTTGATTTTCTTGAAGCTGTTACCACAGAGGTGTTACCAACCTCTCTACTTGGCCCAGCCTTGGCCAGCAGCATATCCATGCTCAGAGCCATCAGGCACTGGCTCTGCCAGACACAGTGGAAGCTTCCAGCAGCTTCTCATGGGAGCCACCTTTGTGGATCCCCTGCTACCAAAAGCCAGGCCCTGTAAAACCAACACAGGAGGTTGGTTTGAGAGCTCATGCTCTCAAAGGTGACAGCAGCAGATGGGGCATCAGCTGTGGGCTGACTGAGGGCAGGTGTAGGTCACAGGGGAAGATGTGTTTGTGGGCAGGAAAGACTCCCCCACACTGTCTGGCGGAACGCTCTGAGTATTGCTGGGCAAAGCTCAGCACCGTTTTGGAGGTTTTTTAGCATTCAGAAAGAAAAAAGCCCAATTCTAAGCAGCATTTATCCACTTCCTGTCTCCCCTGACTTTTCAAGGCTGCTGATTCGTGGAAAAACACACATCCGTGATGGAAATGTTAGGGGCGTCAGTGTGGGCAGGCTGTGGAAACCCAGCAGGAGTGGGCTACTGTGAGCCTGAGCTCTGGTGGCCCTGGGGGTCAGCCTGGTGGCACAGCACAAACAGGGCAGGGCAGGGCAGTGCGAGGGTGGCAAGTGCCGGGGCAGCAGTGAAAGGCTTTCAGTGTGTGGGAGGAACAGCCCTGCAGGGATGGCTGCTCTAAGGAGCTGCCTCTGGGCCAGGGCTCAGCAGGGCAGCCGGAGGGCAGGAGAACTCAGCTCTGCAATCTGGACTTTGTGCCTTTATGGCATTGAGCAAGTATTGCTTCCATCCCAAAAGTGCTCCTTCACACCTGTCTGACCTGTTGAGTTGAAGGGGAAGGAGGTCATGACAGCCTAGGCTGTTTTGTAGGGACATGTACTTAATAATATGCCAGAACCATCTGAACAGCCACCCAGCCCAGGCTGCCAAAGGTATGGGATGAATATAAACTTAATTAGTTTAATAATGGAAACAACCTGAAATACACAATGAGGTGCAATATGATATACACATTTGTACATTATGGCAAGAAGGATCAGTAGATTTTAGCTGCAGAAGGAACTAAAAGAGGTACATGGCTCACCTGTGTTCCTGTAACAGTAACAAGTAGGTGCTGCAGGGTGGAATGGAGGCATGTTAACAACAACTGATTACATACACATTTTTACACATCTCTGTGACCTGTTTGTTTAATGGAAACATAGAGTATAAATTTCTAAACTTAAAAAAGAACTTGCTAGATAAAAAGAGAAATACTTATCCCAATAGCCCTGAAGCTGTATTTCCTCTTTATGTTGCAGATGTTGGGTTTTGTTCCCCTTTTTCCTTTAGCATGTCTGTATCTGCAAGGGGTGGGTTGCCTCTGCTTGTTGAGTGCTGGCTTTGGGCTGTAGAAAGGCTTCCTGGAACTCTCTGGTGACAAAGTAGTAGCAGACACTATCAAGGCAGCAGTTGGACGTGGCAAGGCACCTCATCATGGAGGAGAAGTTCTTCGTGACACAGAACAGGAAACAGGTAGCTCCAACACTCTCCATGATGAACCTGGCAAGCAGTCCGAGGTAGGCTGGCAGAAAACATATCAGAAATACTATCAGATTTGCATAAATAATGTGTATGGCTTTCTGGATCGATTTCTCCTCTGGTGAATTCGTGTTCAGATGTTTCTTGAGGTTCCTGATGACTTCTGTGGAGCAGAAGGTCAAGATTGCTAATGGGAGAGTGAAAACGAAGAAAATGGCCAGTAGGCTGAGAGCAGCAGGCGTGGGGGTGTAGGTCTGGAAGCAGAGAGCTGCGTGTCTGTGCCAGAGCTGGATGGTGGCACTGACTATCACCAAGAACCACAGGAGCCCGCAGAGGAGGGCAGCCTTTGACGGGGACCTGAAGGCCCTGGCTTTCAAAGGGTGCTTTATGGCAATGTATCGATCAATGGAGATGAATGAAATGATGTAGATGCTCACTAACATGTTGATAAAATACATTGTCTCTGTAAACTGGCAGAGCTCCCCTCGGGCTGACTTATTCCAGAGCAAGTAAACCATGGAAGGCAAGGTGCAGATGACAGAGAAATCTGCAAAGACTAAATTCATTACATACACCCTGGTTTCTGTCCACTTCTTCATCTTGCAGGAGAACACCCAGAAGGCAAGGACATTAAATAGTGCTCCAAAAAAGAAAATGAGGCTATACAGAGCAAATTCAATGAGGCGAACATGGGGATGCAGTTCTAGATTTGTGGTGTTGCAGTTGTTGGACACATTCATTGTCCCGATGTACAGATGTTGTACGATGTTCTGAGACCTGAAATAGGAAAAGACATGGTAAGACCTCTTAGTAGCTATAAAAAAAAGCACATGTAAGTACATATGTCCTTGGTTAAAAATGTGAATTTGAACTTTACAGAGCTGTCTTTCTCAGTCAGCCTGTGTCATCTTTTGGCATCCTTTGTCAAGCTTTGTTTATGCCCACTCAGTTTATGAGTGTCTCAGGGTACATTTTCAGGAGGACATGGCAGACAGCCTTTATTAAATAGGTAGATATTGAAGTGTGTGAGGGCAGGAGGCAACACTGCACTCAGAAGAGCCCCCACAGGTAGTGGGCACATCCTATGACAATGTGAACACTAATTCCTTAAGCCAGGCTGTGCAGATGATATAAAATTACCCTTAGCTTGGTGTTGAGCTAGGCAGGGATTGCAGCAACCAAAACTAAAGCTCAGCACAACCATGAGCAAAAGCTGTTCTGTCAGTTCTACTGGTTTTGGCTTCAGACTGGGGGTGAAGGGGTGGGAGTGTGTAGCAAATGTCACTTGATAGAAATCATCGTGCTCTGGCTCTAACTGGGAAGTTTCGGAGCCTTTGCACTGCCTTGTGCACCTGGAGCAGCTCCTCGAAGCTGAGGAAAACAGCTGAATCTGCATTCCTGCTCTCCCAAGGAGACCCTAAAGGAGATAGTGAGGTATGCTGCTCTCTATCTCTCCAGGAGGAGAATGGGGGATGGAAGGATTAACCTGATTTTAAGTCCATTTGTTCCAGGAGAGAGTAGGAGTCTGCAGATCCCTACTTCTGCAAAGCAGAAGGCTGCATCTGGAAGAGAGAACACCACTGCAGAAGAGGGAGCTTGCTGTTAAGGGCTGAAATTAGATCGCTCCTGCTCCAGGCAGGCAGGCAGCCACCCTCAGAAATCCATGTTTTGAGTAGTAGCTGTCACACTAGCTCAAAGATGCTTTGCAGGAGTATTAGTTGTGTGAAGAGTGTGAGTTCATGGGCTGATAAAAATCATCTTTCAGCAGAGCCCTTCCTGTGCAAAGTGGTTTCATGTGAACAAGCACATGGAAAAATTCTCAGTATCTGTCACTTCTGCTTGCATCTAAATTCACTTCAGAAAAAAACTAACAAACAAACAAACCCCTTTCAATGTAAAATA